TTTGACAGAGAAGGTGCATGGGATGGGAGGCTTTGAAGTGTTTGCTGTGTCAGCTGAAGTTAGGGAACCGAGCGTGCACACGCAAGCAGCATCCCTTCGTTCTTGTAACTTGCCAGCAAGTTGTGGTGAGAAATAGCAGAGAGGGGAAAAAAAAAAGCCATGGCAGCCCTTTGCAATCTACAACAGTAGGAGTTGGGATATTTCATGGCATAGATGCATGTGCTGTTTTACCAGCAAATGAAAGGGAAGCCACCCTCCTCCCATGACATTTATCTGAGGGAAAACTGAGACTGTCTCAGTTATATTGAGTGAAAGGCTTGACTTTGAGAGCTACTAGGAATCACTCCATCCCTGTCAGCTTCAGTGGAAGCAGTGGCCAGAGGCTGGACTGCAGCAGCAGGGGAGGCTACAGCGGGTGCGGGCGAGCTGCCTACAGTGCTCTGGCTCTGCTCCCAGTCCCAGTCCCAGTCCCGGTCCTGGAGCAGGAGCCTCTGCATACTCTCAGCAGACCCGCTGGCCTCAGTGAGGCAAGTTGTCCAAGCCATGCCCAGGGGGAATTGCTGTTGTATGATTTGGCAGTGCTGCAGGCAAACAAGATTGTGCTCTTTCTCATTACGTGCCGTTTTGTCTTGGTTGGTTTTGCTCTAATACACTAATGCCTGCAGATAGCATGGGAGGGAAGGCAGAGGTGGAAAGTTGGTAGCTTTTGCAATATTTTCAGGAAGTAGAATTCCTGAACATTTTTTCCTTAAGTAGAGCCGGCAAGGTACACCCCTTATTGGTGTGTGCTTAACAAGAAAATTTGACAACAGACACTGTAGCTGCCCTGCCTGACAGCTGCCTCACTGTCGGCTTCAGAAGCTGGAGTGCTGGGGATGCCATGGGGGCACCGGTTTCAGCAGGGGGCTTGGTTTTGGCAATGCCTTTGGCATGGAGTTAAATGAGTCAGCCTAACTCTGCTCTCATGTGTAACGTATTTTCCATGTAAAATGTCCACCTGTCAGGCAGTACGGGATGCTATCAGGGCTGCTAACAGTCTCTTGCCACATCCAGAGAGGTGTTGTTTCCTTATGGGGTATGTGCAAAAAGTAATGTCAGCTTTTAAAGATATTACTCTGATGTTTTGGGGAAAAAACTGAGAATTTGTTAAGGCTGGGGAAGGAGAAGAAATCTTTTCCAAGATTAAACTCAGCCGTGACAAGATTCCTCTGTTATGATGTGGTGTGTAAGTGACCTCCTTTAACAGCCCACACCCCATATAGCCCACAGCTCTGCTCAAGCGTCTGCTCTCTGGAAACTCAGCTAACTCTCTAGCTACAGACTTGTTCCCACCTCCCCAAGTGCCTTGATATGTAATGGACCTGGAGAAGCCAGAGAACTGACAAGACAGCCATGGTGGCTCGCCAGGGAGCACAGCCATCGTCCCAGATGCGTGGCCCTGGAGGATGCTCTGGGGTTGACTCCTCCTCCCAGAGCTGCTGCCTGGCGAGGGCTGGTCCTGTGGCAGTGATCCCCACTGCCTGCTGAGGAGCTGACAGAAAAAAAGAGTTCGGTTCAGAATTCAGTTGAAGGGCAGGTTCAGCTTCACTGAGAACTGAGGAGAGGCTATCTGGGCTCCTGGCAAGGTCTGGCAGAATGAGGGGATGTTTTTAAGGGGGAATGCCCAGAAGGAAGTGAGGCATCCTGAACAGCCTGAACAGATGTTGGGTTTCCCTCATTCCATGCTCTCTTTGCACCAGGGTTATTCAGTTATTCTCAAGTTTTAAGTTTGTACATGTGGAGTTAGAGAAGATTTCACATGGAAAACCTGTCCCATCCTTAGGTAATCAGGTATGCAAGAATTGACTACTTAATTTTACTATTAGCTTTTGCCATCCAGCTGACAGGAGGCTGCTTTGCTGAAATAGGAACTGCTGTGCAAAATTATTGAGACAAGTTTGCAGCACAGCATTGGTGGGACTGGTGTTATCCATCACTCCTTCTTGCATTTGTGAAGGACTTTTGCAGCCTGTCTTTGTCCCCTCACTCCCCCAGTTCCACCCAAAACTGATCCTGCAAATCTCTATGAAGACAGCCTGGGCAGGCATCTCCACTCTCATCACACTTGTAGAGTGTCCTTCTTCATCTGCGAGCTGAATCGGACTCATCGGCTATAGGGTGTTACTAATTTTGACAGAAGTGAGAGGTGTAATGCAACTGCAGCCCTTTCTGTTTAAAACCTTCCTTCTAAATGTCATCCTTCAACTAAATATACTGGTTATGTATAGCTGCTGGCACTTATTTGCTTTGGGAGGACTTAAAAGCTTGTCAGGAACTGCACCCTTCCCCTGAACAAGAAGCACACTACTGCCACGAGTGAGTAATAAAAAGTAAAGCTTTTCACCAAGTTCCCAAATCTTGAGATGAACAGATTTCAAGTGACAAATGTTAACTAAATACACCAGTGAATTCCATTCTTTTTTTAACAGAAAAGTAAAAAAAAGATATTCTAGACAAACTGTGGGATTTCTTTTAACTGTGTTTAAACCAGGAGTTTAGTGCTACCTATGTTCCCCTCAGAAGCCAGAGCCCAGCCTGATTTTTAAACGTTTACCTACTTGTTTACTCAGAAATCCAGCAGACAAATCTGCTCCTGAAAATAAAAGCCAGATAGCCCATTTTTCCTTCCTAGTTCTGCCTTTATTTCACGGTATCTCTGCCAGCTGCAACACAGCAATGGCTTAACTTTGCTCCCTGTGGTAACCTCAGGAGGTACCCAGCTTTCATGCACGGTAAAGCAGTCAGTAGACAGCACGAACTGTAATGGCCAGACAAAAAAAATAAAGGAAGACATTGTTATTCTGGGGACTTGCCTTTGGGCTACCCAGAGGGCAGTGCACCCTTGCCACGCTGGGCTGCGGGTCTGCAGAGGTACCAGGGAGCTTCCTGGGCTTCGACCTGCTCCCTAACTTACATCCCACTGTGATAAATAAGTGTTTACGTAAGGTCTTGGGGAAAAATTTCCCCGTAAGTAAAATGGTGTGCTGCTTGGTGTGGCACTGGTTTGAGGGATGTTTTGCAGCATCACTGGTAGCCAGCTGATAGTGAAAAGCCACAGCTCAGCAGGCGTGAGAATCTGTTTTCACAATTGTGGCTGAAAAGCTGAGGCATCGATGCTATTGGTGTTAACTGGCATTAACTGGCATCCCAGCAAAGGAAGGAACTGGAAAAAGGCTGGTCCCAGCCAATGAAAGCAAACAGAGGGAGGGAAAGCAAACAGCCTGTGCTGGTTCTGCAGCCAAGGCGATCGTAAAGGGATCTCATGAAACGCAGCGACTGTGAAAGACTCGCTGGTGGCCACAGGGTCCTGGTCCCAGAGCCCCGTATCTGTTTCCCAGCAGAAACACACAGGCGAGCAAACAAGGAAAACTCCAGTACAACAGGCACGAGCGGGATAAGGAGGGCAAAAACGGGAATGTGCTTCGCTGCTTCTGAATTCTCTGTGCTTTTCCCGCTGCTACCTTGCCGCTGTGTGCTGTTAAAAGAACGGCTTGGCTCGCCCTGCGTGCCCGGGAGCGAGCGGTGTCAGCCAGAGCAGGGCAGGGGGGCTGCCGGAGGGTTTGTGGGGTGGGAGAGGGCTGCACCCGCTCTGCTCCTCTCACTGCCACCTGGGAAGGGAGTCCTGCGCAAACTGGGGGGTGGGGAGAGCTGTTCCAGAAAGCAAAAAAAAAGTCCCGAACACCAGACAGGATAGGCAAACAACTTAACGGCGCTCCGAGGAGCACAAGCTCCAGCTCTGCAACTGTGCCGTCTGAGGCTGGGCAGAAGGTACAGCCTTCAGGAGAAAGATGAGTGGAAAGATAAAAAAGCCAAAAGCAGGAGAGGGAGAGGAGCCAAGCCAGGGGTATGAGTGTAACATCGTCATGAGATTCCCCTCTCGGTTCTGTCCACATGCAGTT